ACTAATACGACGTCCATGTGAATGCTTGCAATAAATGACCGATTTCGCTATTTTGAATTTTCTGTAACGGGCACGCGTACAGGTGGTACTCACCCATTCCAACCCAAATGCCCAAAATATTCCAAAAATATAGGCCATAGATCGCGTTGAGACTTTGAAGTTCAGCAACTCGTACCATGTTCACTGCTAAGCTTACCGGTACACTACACGCAATCCTAGCCCAGGGTTACACACCTACTACATGACAATCGTACGTTTCTATCGCGTATAGATTGTGGATGCGATGGGGCTGCGGCATTCCAACCAAGTTTAATGTAACGTTACTACACAGCCTATCGCAGTTACGAGAACGCTATTTTCGGCACTGACATGAACTGGCGAATTTTTCCCTCGTGGACGAATATTAGTACCAGTAATTCACAACAGGTAGTACGAAGTATAAATAATACCACTCCGTCCCAAATCACGGACACGTTTGGACATTCTATTAGTTGTGAAATTAGAAAACAATCAATTTTATTAAAAATATTACTTTATCCAGTACAGTTGAGCCAATCACAAGGAAGGTGACATGGGTACATTTAGGTGACATTGACATATTCCTGGGAATTAAATTATACAGCCGAAGTCACCTCTTGTTTTCGATATATTTGAGACAATCTCCATACATTCTTCAAGTCCGGTGAACATTTGAAAATTTTGGGTTGAGCGGCTGATTTTATTTGAAGAATACACACGCAGTTTTTGGACGAATGGCAATATAATTATATGACCTTATAGCCAAGATCCTACTCTTTTGGTTGGTACAAATTTCACACAAATCCAATGATTGGTCATAATACCACAATGTGGCAAACATCAAACGTGTCAGTGATTTGGGACGGAGTGGTACTACGAACTACTACAATACGTATTATTAATATTAATAATAGTATACTAGTACTGTACCTTACTTTCACGACACCCTAACTACTGTAAGTAGTACTAGTACCCTTAGTGGGGGACTACCTTACCGGTACTGTAGATAAGACCACGCACACACTTACAGAAAAAACCATGTAACTTGGGACTTCGTCCTACCCCCAGTGGGTAACTTACGGATATTTCAAAGTAATGCTATCGGAGAAAACCAATTTACAGTTAAGGTGCTCGAATCATTTAATGGTGCACTTGAATCAGCCAATCAAATGTAGTCAAAAACTGGGAGATAACCTCCTTAATATAATACACGAAGTGAATTTTGGCGCCTGACTGTTTCTCAAAACGGTATAATTGCATTACCTGTCTGAAGTTAATATTTAACTTCAGAAATTACATAACATAACCACACAAAAAATAAGCAAATGGATATACAAACATTAAGATAATAGTGTGCATCATTAACAGGTTCTCACATCGTGAGTACATTTGCTTCGAAAATGATATTTATGTCTGTCAAATAGACTTTGAAACACGATTATTTGAATGTCCAAGGAATCAGCTCCGCTTTGGCCTCATCCAGCACTTTTCGGAATTTGAATCTGATGCATCCACGCTGAGCTTCGTTCCTTCCACGGCAGCGTCTCGGAAAAAGTGTTCTTAACGTTAAATTGGTTTTCTACGTTATCCCCTGGGTTAAGCGCATCACAGGGGTTAGCTATCGCTAACCACTGTTTTGAAGGTAAGGTATAATTGCTGTGGGGGAATTACCGGTAGTCCTGTGCTGGCCGGGGCGACGGGGATATTTTCCTTGTTGCGATGTAGTTCGCTTGTTGGGCTCGAAGAAGTACAGAGGTCATCTGATCTTTAACGTTATTGCACTGTGTTTCCGCTTCTAGAGGACATTCGTCCAGATTGCCCCCTCCGTCAACTTGCGAATCGATACCTGTATTGATATGATATTGACCTGGCTGAGTATTGCCCACCAGGTTGTGTACTGTACTGTAAACTACTACCAGTAGTACATTACTACTATGGCACTACATAGTAGTATTAATACTAGCACATACTAACGTTAGCACCAACTTGTTCTCAGCATCCCCCCATCACATCGCTTGGTACTGGGAAATTGGTACTAGTATATACTATCGTAGTACTACTATACATACATATACATGTCGTATTGGTTGGAATGCGACCGACATTGACAGTGAGTGCCACGTACCCGTTACAGAAAATTTTAAAATAGCGTACATATATGTGATATTTGAACCTATCAAAAATTTCGGTATCAAAGTTAGGCCCTGCAGTTTGGCACAACAACAAAACGTACGTGTACATCTTTTGTAAACAATACAATGAATTTGCTTACAGTTAAAATCTGGCACAGTCGATTCTCAAATCAGCTGTCAGTTGGAATGAGCGAACTTTTAGTTGTTGGAATGCCGCTACATCATGCATGTTGGGACGTAGACACACAGGAACAAACCTGCAGTATGTATGTATGTATGGTCGCTTAAGATGAAACAACTCGTGCAATGTAGCCGTATCGTTGTCCATAGCTATTGCAAATTCTTCGTCACAGTTGTTCATAGTGACCAACCTGCTGTACCAGTATCCACGCGCTGTTATACAGTTACTAGTAATATACAGTAAGCAACCACCACAATGACCACTGTACTTGAAGCTCAGTGGACAAAACCATCATCCCACTCTCCTGTTATAGTTCGAGTACGCAGCTTGGTGCCTCCAAGTCAAACCCACTTTTGAATTTCGATTGGAGTTGCAGTAGCCATGTTTTGGAAGAATCCGTCAGCACTGACCCAAGTGCTCCTCGTGTCGTTCGTGTGCTTCACGTGCCCAGGGCTATTCAACGCCCTCGGCAGCATCGCCGCGGGGGTGGCCGACGAAACCATCAGCTACAACGCTACGTCGCTGCTGTACGCGTTCTTTGCGCTGTTCGGTCTGTTTGGTGGCGGTGTGGTCAACGTGATCGGACCCAAGTACACGTTGTTCATTGGGTCGTGGGGCTACATCCTGTACTCGGGGTCACTCTTGGCCATGGACAAGGGGTACAACGCCACGACCAAGGAGTACACGAGTGCGTCGACCAACTTCTTTTACGCCGCGAACGCGATCCTCGGCATCTGCGCCGGGTTCCTC